CATGGACTCTTTGTTTAATGATGAAATATTTACCTGAAAGAAATGTATGTATTCAGTTGTGTTTCTTTCAAGAGAAGAGCACAAAAACAGTCATAAAAGTGCCTCAGACCAGATTGCCAGTGAATGAGAGAGGCGAGCTTTACAGGCCTAGTGTGTGTTTGTGATTTATGTGCATCTGCTGGGGTGTGTGCATGCATACTTGAGTTGTAGTGTTGTAGAGTCCCAGCGAGCCAGCCCAGGCGTTAGAGAGAGGGGCTTCCTGCTGCTTCTTGGCGAGCGCGACTAGGACGAGTGGACGAAGACGAAAAAGCGTGGCACAAAACTCTCGGCCCGAACTCCGCTTGTCGTGATTTATTTCTATGCTCTGAGGAGCCACTTAACTTAATTTGACATTACTGTCATCATAAACTATACCACGCAGAGAGCAGAATGAGTCTGTAACGAGCTGAAAACAAGAGGACGGAGATTCCAGCCCAAGTGGAAGCAGAGTTTGTGGTGACAATAATGGCGCCAGATAAACTGCTCTTTTTCACCCTGACAATATAATTATGCGTTTATGAGAAAGAAGGAGAGGAAGAAACAGGGATACGGGGGTCATGATCTAATTGTTTATTTCTGACACTCTGTAGTATCAGTCAATCTAGGCTTTATCGTGCTCATACAAACTGTGAGGTAAAAAGGGAAAATTGTTTTAAAGCTGCCGCTTGCCCTAAATTGGCACTAAGATTTGGCAGTGCCCACATCAAAAAGCTAAATCCTCTTTGCATGAAGGTTTTTACAGTCAAACAAGACAAAGACTGAGCTGTCTGTGACAATGGAAGACAAACCTTTCAAACTTGAGAATCATGTAGCAGCAGTTGAATATAGCGGTGGAAGAGTCATGCTGTGGGCTGTTTTATTGGAGAAAAGTGGAAGAGTAGGGTACAGGAATTACCTAATAAAATTCTTCAGCTTCATCTCAGATTATGAACATAATTTGGTGGTTCAAATGGACAACAGTCCCAAGCACACACCAAGAGTCCTGAGAGGTTTTGAACTCAATATGTTGTCACACTATATGTCAATGTGAATGTTCATGAGTACAGTTTTGACATTCGTGGTTTACAGAATACACACAGCATGTGAAAAGAAGATGCTGCCAGAATAATGAGTCATATTGAAATGAAACAAAAATTTTGAAATCAGATGCACATCACCCGGTAATCATTAACGTCTTCATTGTTTTCCAGCTGTTCAAAGTTGAACCATTTCTGATTAAACTTAACTAGTCACCATAAATGCAGCTAATTGGAGTTGACAGTACTATCATTTTTATTTTCAGTTTTGAAATTATTGCATGGAAAACAAGTGAAACAACGGGTCAAAAATGAAAATGTGTCATAGGGTGTGTGTTTACTCTTCCCAGATGGTGGCAAAGAATTTCACTCAGCCGTGTTCTGAACCTGTTTGTGATCTGTTTGTTTAAACATAAACGGATCAAATGTGTTTCACTTGGAGTTTCTTGCAACAGTCTTTGTACCTCTTGAATGTTTCCGTATTTCACAAACATCAGCACGTTTTATTGGGATTTTATGTGATTGGCTAACAAAGTAGAAGATATTTTATTAGGAAGAGGGAAACTAATGCTTTTATATTTAGTTGGGTTTTTTTTTTCAAATACAAATTAAAAGTGATGTTATGAACAGTTTAAAGTCTCGTCTCATTTGAAGATCACGCTCAAAAGTTCCCAGAATTGTAAAGACAATTGTACAGCTTCTTGTACTTCACACCCCCTGCCTGAATGTAACAATTACACACACACACACACACACACACACACACACACACACACACACACACACACACACACACACACACACACACACACACACACACACACTCGCACGCACGCACATTAAGTTCTGGAATATTATGTAGGAATAGAAAATCAATGCAATAACACATAAATATTAAATTGCGCAGACTTGCCGTACTGTGGCCCCTCTTCTTCTTCCATTATCTGGCAATGTCACTGAGTAACCAGTTCAAACTTGTTTACATTGAAGAACCGACTCTGACTGTCGTTCAGGAAAGGCTGCTGGGATTTAAGTTGTCAAAGTTCTGTTTACATATCGACAGTAGGACAGGGGATATACATCCACACTGATTTACGAGGGACCTCAGAGGTTTTAGGGTGAACAAAAAGTCAAGGAACTCGGAGATGTTGGAACAAAGTCCTGCTGCCTGTACGACTGAACTGCCTGATGGGACAGACAAGTTGCTTTCAAGTTGAAAGACGTTGCATGTCTTTCAGTGACTGAAGATTTCCAACTTCCCATTACTTTAAGCGTATTATTTTTTCTCACTGGGGAAACATGATATTATGGGGATGTTTAGTTTCTAGACTCAGCTTCGATGTGATGCTATGTTGATAAAATATGATACTACAAGAACTCGCAGATTTAGTTTCTGTGTAATGTCTTGACAACTTTTATAATCAAATGCTGCAGAAGAAGGGCAACGTGAGGACTTCCCAAGAGTTTTGCACCTGAGTTTTTCAAATGCGATGGCCAACAAGAACTTTGTTCTGGTTCTTGGGAATCAGAGTGTCCTGCAGCTGGCTTGAGGCCTGAACTGAGGAGCTGGGGGGAAATGACTAATAAATCCTGGGAAAATAAACAAAGAAAACTTGAAGGATTAACTAAGGAATTTAGTGAATTTATTGGTTCTATTTTGGGTCACTATCAGTGCTTATTTCAGTGCTGACTTGTGCTAACAATATTGAAAAGGTTATAGAGGTAGGCAATAGCCATTACTGACCAATTCATTTATTTTTTTTTTTTGGTAAATTTCTGTATATAATTGAAAGCTTAAACCCACAACCTAAGAAATGAAAAAAACAAAACAAAAAACACCAGCATTAGTATGTCTATGAACACAAATGCTTTAGTTGTCAGATGACTGTTTGTCATCATTTCTCCATAGGATATGAGTCGAAGGCAACAATCAATTATTTGATTATAAGTGGTGATCTAAATCTAAATTTTCTTTCCAGATTACGGCTACATCAGTGTAAAAGAAGCTAGTTGCTTCAAAAGCCGCGCATCTTCACACACATTATGTCAAAAGTCATTTTAAAAAAAGAGAAAACCAGATGGTACCGTATAGAGTGCAGTATTGCTTCTAAACATAGAACATCAGTAAAAGAGAACAACTGTTCTCTTTTACTAACATCGAAACTTGACTCTCATGCTTTGAGAGGCCATGTGATTATTTCTAAGTCTTTATCAGCACTCCACACTCTGCTGCTGTGCGCTATACATAGAGAGTGACTTCGAGGTGCAAAGCCTTCACACCATAGAAATAGATTCATCATGATGGCTACACACAGACAGATGAAAAACTCTTGAGTCCAAATGGAATATCCCAGGTTCAGTCAACGTTATCATCACGGATCACAACCAAACAGGATTTAAGGCTACGCGCAAATGCTTAAGAATTGCGTCAAGGCGTTGCGTCGATGTGAAATGAAGAAAAATGTCAAACAGTAACCCTTAACGGTCTGAGTCAACGTGCTCTCAATTTCAGGCCCTCCAGTTATTGTGCAACATCAGCAGAAGCTTGAATTTGTAGGTCAAACCACATCTAATCTCAGAACATAACTGGGACTAAGATGCTTTTCCTGCACATTGTCGCTGGCATTTATAGTCACACATACATTATAATCACAATGTCTTTAAAGATGCAATGGCTACCATCTGTTCTCTCAAATAACACGTGAGCGTCAGGACTGAGGAATCAAACAGTCTTAGTTATCTAACAGGATGTACATTTTGCTATGCCCTGGATGTCTACTCCCACATGAACTCATTTCAGCTCAGTGTTGATTATGCTTCTCATTACATCTGTCGACAGATATCAAAGCCACCAGCAATGAATAGTTGAGGTGAGGACTTGGCCACACATTTTTGTACAAAGCCATATGTTGCAACAGACATAAGTGATGGCAGATTGTGGCTAAAAGCTGCTCTGTGAGGTGTTGAGCTTCTGTTTTCTGCAAGAACCTCTGCAGCTGCTTACTAACACCATAAAGGACGATGTTTTCCTTTCTTACTGAGGCTGTCGGCGCAAATAAGGTTCATTCATACAGGGTAACTCACTCAAACATGGATACATGTTTAGAGTTGGACTGGTTGTGTAGTTTCATTAATTGATGGCTGGCAGGTTTGAATGGATCTAGAAAGTCTACACACCGTTGTTTTAGATGTAAACAAATCAGGCTGCAGTATGTTTAGTTTATACATAACACTGTTCATTATCCATCCAACCGTCTGTTGTCTTTATTTGTGGGTCTTTACAGGTTCATGAGGAGCTGGTGTCTGGCAGGTAGGACAGGTGGCCAGTGTGTCACGAATCGTCAGGTAGCCATGCTCACACTCACTCATACGTAGAGATATTTGATTCCATCAATAGGCTTTTGAGAAAAGCACCAACTGTGTTAGAGGTAGATGTGTCATAAATATACACTTTGTTAAATATGATGCATTTGTCACTGTGATATAGTAAACTCCCCATCGTTTTGGGTCAGATTTTTATCCTGTCAGTGACCTTCACTTCTTCGCATTTGTGAGTGCCTGCTGCTCCCACCTAGAATGACTCCATTAGCATCCATTATTAACCTTCACACCTTGGTCCTAATTGATATTTGATTGATGTCGCGATCACGTCTCTTTCTTGGAACAGTGTCCAAACACTGAACCGAAACCTTAAAGAGGCAAACGGCAGCCCTCTGATCCTCAGGTCTCACTTAGGCAGGACATACCACAACTGTGTGGCGTCGCCAAGACAGGAGCAGCGATTCGGAGGAACAGATATGCCAGGAGTGACACAACAAAGATGAAAGAGAAAAAGGAGAAGGAAATGTAAACAGGGGGAATGCAGTGAAGAGGCGCCGCAGAGCAAAGCAGGAAAACTTCTCTCCTGTTCACCTGCCTTGCTCCATCTGTTTGGGTCGCACTGACCTGCAGTGGGCCGCTGGCTGGCATGGTGGATCTCATCGATGCCAGGTCGATGTCGCGTCCCTGCTCTCCTCTCTCCGTCTTCCCCAGTCCCTGCATCATGAGGCCTGCAGCGAGCACTCCAGACGTCGAGACAAACACGCGCTTTAGGTTTGCTCTCACAGGAGCAAAAGATGCCAATGCGACGATGGCAGAGGGAGATACCCTGGAAGCCAGGCACCGAGCACCAAGTAAGGCCAGGCAGGACAACAGAGGGACAAACAAATGGCTCATTCAGTCCATCCTGGTCTCCTCCTCTCACTGATTCACACTTTGCAATTTGTCTCTGTTGCTATTTTTTTTTTTTAGATACTAAATCTATTATAGTTTGTTAAAACCTTGAACACAATCAAAATACACAGCCACCACGATGATGCCTCGATAACAGAATGCTGGCTGTCAGCAGTTGAAATATGGCAAATATTAATTGTTGTCACTTAAAAGCGAAATGTTTGGCCTCATTTAATGTCAGAAAGTTCCTGCAATATGAGCTGATGCTGCTTGAGGAAGGGTTTTGAGTTTGTGGCTTCATTCTCCTTCTTTTGAGTATTTCGAGGCTTCATGGCGACTGTTCATAAGGCTATGATGGATTTTTTTTTTTTACTTATGTGTACTTTATTGGACTGAAAGTTACTAAATTAATCCCTACATTTTAGGATAAACACAAACCTCCCCACCCACAGGCAGTTAATTTCTGTTCCTAGAAGAAGCTTGCACAAGATGGCTCATTTAGCCAAACCTCTGTATTTTCTGGTTCCAAGAGACAAAAAAAAAAAAAAAACTGTATTTGGAGGATGACATTTACAGATCTTCCTCCAAATTGTAAATCCTGATGTCAGCTTAAGTTATTTAGTAAACATGTTTACTTATCTCTCCCAGTTTGGTTTGTGCCAGGTGAATACATACTACTTTGGAAAGGTTTTGGTTTACCTAAGATGAAAGATTGAGGTTTGAGAGGGAATGCATTCACACATTCTAGATTGCTTATGCACGTCAATATTTCCGTATGTTTTGCTGCAAATCTTTTGGTGTGGTGTTAAGCAATTACTCTGCAAGCTTCCAGCTTTCAAACTTTGTTTTTTTTTTCAGTTTTTCATGACCATTTTCAGAAGGATTACGGTAATCTTTGCTTAAACCATTTCAACCTAAACATAAATCTGGTACCTGTTGTGTTGACATGTAAACAAATTTCAAAAATAAAATCTGAAAATTCATAAAGTACAAGATCCGAAAGGGAAATAAATACTTGTAGAAATAGTATTGTAGCGCAATACAAATGACACCCATTGCAGCATATTTAAAAATACACTATGTCCAGAAATTAAAAACGGTTTAAGGCTATAAAATTAATTTATAACTGTGTAAACAAATAGAAAACACAAGTTAGGTCCTGACGTGTAAACTGATTCGTGCACAAATGTGTTTGGCAAAAGTTTTGACTGAAAAGCGTTTAAGGAAAATTAAATTGACAAGTAGTTATTCTTAAGAAACCGCAACCAAAAGAAATGGTGGAAGTGTGTCAAATTACAGAGGAACTGGCAGAGTCACACGAAGTGCAGCTGTTAATATTTACAACCATTCAGAAGGCACGGTAGAGTCTGTGCCATGGTTTATGGCAGCACTTTACTCCCCATTATTGGCTGCCAGCTAATAACTGATGTAATAATGAACACTGTGAAATACAGCACACTAACATGCTGACATTTTGATCAGTTTGGCATCTGATCTAAAGGAACATCTATTTATCAACACCTTCGTTTTTCACCATGTCTTTGGGGAAATCCTGGGTTCAGTTCTGTTTGTTTGTTTCTTGTTCTTCCATCCATCTTCCCAGGTTTCTGTTTCCTGGTATGAAGTTTCTCCTGAAACGAAACTCATGTCATTACAGGAGGAGTGCATCTTAATGCAACTATACTCTGCTGGGGGCTTGAATGCTATTTTTATCACTATGGAAGCAGCATAATTTCTAAAGCTTTCTAAAGCCATTTGAGTACTACTCAATTTGATAGGCTTCATTTGACTGTGAAGTGGTGTTCTCCATTCTCGGTCATGCTGTCGGATAGCACCACCACACACATTTAAAATTCAAAATCTGCATAACTTTCCTGAACATATGGAAGGTTTCTGCATCTCCACCATCAGTTTCAGTCGTGGTGAAAACACGCATCTCTTCACTGTCATGAGGGGATGTAGGTTAGATTTTTATCTGTACAGATATAGCGTCCTACCAAGCATAATGTGTATTTATTTTAACACATGGTAAGACTGACATTAAATATGCTGTCAGACTTCGACTTTTAAAGTAAGTACATGTGAATTGCAGAGTGATGAACTCAAGACTCCTGCTTGCTCCTCCAACAGCCAGACTTTTTTTGATGGAACATTCCTTGCAGGATCTTTATCACCAGCATAGAGAAAAATTCTCAATGTGACAGATAAAACTACTTGACTGGGCTTGCTGTGAAAAATTATCACTCGTTCTCCCCTATAGTCATTTGAATCAATTAAAGAAAATGACTCATCTAGTTTGTGAACATGAAAGTGATCAACATTAAATCTCATACATAGCTGTGGTGGGGTGAACAGCATCAAAGTGAAGTTATGTTGCATTTATCAGTTCTTTTTCTTTCTTCAAAACATCTGCAGGCTTGACACAAAAATCTCTAAAAAGAGTTTTGTTGATGGTAAGCTCTGATAAGTTGGGTGTGATTAATATACAAGTCAAGTATATGAGCCAATTCCAGTAACTGGAGACTGACAGGGTAATTAAAGTTTTCTTGAAATGCCAACTGCTTTTGAAACCTTGTAAACAATTTGCGTGACTGTGACTCGGTGGGAGAAATCAATTGTATCTGATAATAATAGTGGAGGAAAAGTCAACGAGGAAAAGTCAACGATACAGAGGTTAGAAAAACCGGCCGTAGGTTTGTCAATCGGAAAAGAAAGATGTAATTTAGAAAGGTAAGCCAAGAAAAAACACACTTAATCTTGTGTAACACTTTCCTGTGAATAGACATCCCTCATTAATGCAATGCAACAGCCGACAGGCGAGACGCTGGGACGTCTCAACATTTATCCACCACTTTGTTTTAATGAGTTTCTCTCTTGTCTTTTCTATTTTGGAGGTTTTCTTTGAAAATGTGCACTGTCACGGAATTTGTATTTCCAGCATAAACATTATTCATTATCATTATTATTCATTCCTGGACTCTATTAACGGCTGAGCTGCGCTTATTTCACAGGAGCTGTTAGAGGTGGCACTGCTGATTTAGTAAACTATTTCTTAATGGTGAAATTATCCACCACACAATTTGGACACATTTCGGACATCTTGAGTGTGAGATTTATTTTTTACGCACATTTATTATCCCTGTCAATATCAATCAATCAATCAAATTCTATTTGTATATCACATTTTAGCAGCAAGGCATTTCAAAGTGCTTTACAGCATGACAAACACAAAACTACAAAGTTATGCAACATAGAATCAACAATCAAAACATTACATTCAGTCAATTGCCATCATAAAATTCATAATTGATTATGTTTTAAATACAACTCTAAATAAACATGTGTGTTTTTAGTCGAGATTTAAAGACATCAGGATGCGCTGACTTTTCCAAAAAACGTTTTTAGCAGTTCAGAGAGCAAACGCTTTATGCTCACTCTATCCATGCATTGATGCAACCGACGAGAGTTAGGAATCACATCTGAATGTGACTTCAGCTTGAATCATAAACCCTAGTTTGCAAATTTATGCGTCAGATCACCTCGCTTTTCCTGGGAGCCTTTTTTTTTATGTGCAAAAAGTAATACCTAGGAATATTGACAAGTCCAAACAAGAAATTATCAACTTTGGCTGTTGACATTCTTCATGTTTATGACCCATGTTTTATAATACCAAAACTCTCACTGTTGTAAAACAAACACTTTCTGTGACCGTGTGGTTGTAAAATGAACTCAAAAGGTAGCAGCTTATTTCATGACTCTAAACCTGTCCTTCAGTGTTGGCAGCCGTGGAAGCGAACTGGTGTTTAAAACGGTTTTGTGCTGGTTTTGAATGACTCCCAGGAATCAGCTGAGGCAACATCTGTTTGCAGACTCTGTCTTTTGTCAGCCTGCTTAGTTGTCTTTGTGTCATTTGTTCAGTGGCTCTTTCTGCTCCACACAAAGAGAAGGCTTCAGCAGCTGAGTGCCAGGCAGCGCTGACCTCTCACTTTCTACCTCTTTGTCACACTCACATGCATGTACAAATGCACTCTTTGCTAGACACTACCAGTCTCTCCTCCTATAAAGAGGCCTTTATGCACCAAAGAGCTCATTAGCAACGATAGAAACACATATTTCCTTCTCTTAACTTTATTCCTGTCACACTGTAAACATTTAGAAGCTGATTGTTTCGAAATTCGAAGACACACACACATGCACGCAGGCTCTACCAGGAAGCCACTTCAAAGTTAACAGAGCAAAGTTGTACATCTCCACTCCTGATGACAGCTGATAACAGCAGCCGTGCCCCTGCAGATCAGAACAAGCCTCCAAAGTCTTGCCCACACTCATGTACAAATATAGACGTACAGCCAGTGACCCGGGATGAGGGCGTAACGGATCAAAGCAGTGGTCCGTGTTCCTGACAGAGCAACAGGTGCTCGTGCACTTTTATCTTTCACCTGGGCGGAAAGATGGTGTAATTTGTTTTTTTCTGGTTTAGAGTTCCCCAAAGCCTCCATGGTGACTTAAAACTTTCAGCATGAAAGCAGTGTGCACTTAAAAACATCATCGTTCCAATTATCTGTAGTCATGTAATAAAAAAAAACAAAGCAGTTCAATCCTGTTGCTGATTTACATTTAAGGGGTTTAAAGCACAATGTAAGACTAACATAAGTAGGCCATGACCTATTTGCACACCATCTAAGTGAAATAAAATCTTTAAAATAAAGCGAACAGAGAAACTATTTTTTTTTCTTTTGAAACTAAAAATTGATAGTTTCAATCTCTTTTCCTTCACAACGTTTGTTTTTATTTCCATCTGGTCTGCTCCTTGATTGATCACAATAAAAGTACTATATGAAGAGTATGCAGATGTTGCAGCTTTCTGGTGAACTTGACACAAACACTCCATCTATCTAGACGAACTGAATAGAATAGAAAATTAAACTGAGTCTCAGGGGAGAACCAAACTGCTTGAGCTCCAGTG